AATCTAATTTGGGCCTTAATTGATGGCTTTGTAGACAATTTATATTTGCCTATTTGCTATTTTACACTTCCATAAATTGAACAAAAAACATTGAAAATGCATAATGAATGTCTATGAACACTGGAATCATACTAATTAATCTTTTATAATATCAATCAACTTTGTAGAATTTTTTCAGCTCATTTTACGTAATGCTACATTTATTATCTTTTCTTCCTCCTTTTATGTCTTTATTATCACATTTTGCTCTGCTTCCACGTTTTCTGTGATATACTTGTCATACTTTTGATGCGTTAAGACGCTCAACATTTGACGCTTCTCGTACTATTTTATCCAGATTGCCTTTTGGGTCATCATTCAAAAAATATTTTTGTCTGGTTTTTTTTCAATTTTTGTAGTCCCATTCTAGTTATCTTCTTTAATCAAGCTACTCTGTTTCGGACTTGCCTTGACGTATCTTAAAGACCCAAATATTTCGTTTAAATGTATCACTGATCAACTTGGTAGCCCTCATTCACAAACTCTTCAATGGTAGCTTGGCATCTACGCTACTCAATGAAATACCTCTATATAAATGATCATTTGTGGTATTTATTGCATGGTTTTCTAACTTTCAAGACTCCTATGTGTACTGACTGTATTAGAGTTCTCTTAATACGGAAATTACACACTTAATTTTGTCAGGGATTTTAATTATTGCTCTTTACTACTAGTTTATTTGCTACATATGTCGGGGTTTATAAGATTATCTTAGGGCTATTGTTTCTCGGCGCAGCTAAAGTTGACACATTTTTGTTATCACTTATATCTACCAATTCCAAACAACCTGTTATCTGAATTTGTTTTCGAGGGTACTTTATATTTTTATTGATTTTCTTACAACACAACTTTTAGATGAGAAAATGGCCGCTTCTCTCCCCAACAACCTTATTGCTTCATTTTGCGATGACGAGGACAGTTTGTTTGCTCCCGGGAGCCCTTGGGGTTTCAGCTCGATACCAGGTAAATGGGACGCTGGACTTGGCTGCTGCTCTGTTGGTGGCGCGTTTGCTGAGAGTCTGGAGCAATCACGCGTTCTCCTCGTTGCTACCCTTTTAGTCAATCTTGTCACTGCGCCTGTCAACATCGTTAACTGCAACGCTTCGAACGGCGTAGATGCTGATCCTGGAGATGAGTGGTCTGCTACTCAACAACAGCAGCAGCATTGGAATGAAGAGGATGATGACGAATATGAACAAGGAAATGCTCCGGCGCGCTCTATCGTTTATCATCGGCATGTTGGACGTCTAGTACCACTGTCAGCTTATCGTGATAATCGGCGGATCCTAACTAGCCAGCCTGCAGCATTGCGTTTCGCTTTCCTCTGTGCCTACTCTCGGCACGCAAGTCTCCATCAACTCGGTCTTCAGCTAATCGGCAGTCTTCGTTTTACACTCAACCCTCCATCGCTTTCGAGTGACTCTGTTGCTCCTATCCATAATTTGAATGACAGCGATCCTAAGATGGAATCTGAAGCAGATGAATTTGGCTGCTCCCTTCCCGATAGACTGGCGCTTGAGCGAATTGGCAATACGACTTGCCTTCTGGGCCAGCTCACTATGACTTTTTTACACCACAGTATTGTAGAGACCGATGATAGGACAGATCTGATTACAGGTGCGTCTTATTGCCTCTTTTGTTCTATTATGATCTTTCATTCCTTTTATAGTTGGTTCGACCTCGTTTTCGCAACTTAGTCTGAGCTTCCTGAAGACCTTGTGGAACGTACCTGGTCCTGTGTCCTTTGTTATAGTATTCATGATTTCCTATATTGGACCATTGACTTGTTACATCCTTAAACGTTTCTCTGGCATCGTAGTCCGCATATACATTTATCTAAGACGAATGCATATCTTCCTCTATCTTGTTGAGATCTTTTTTTCTACATTCTTTTATCTCTTATTCCAGTACTACTCACTTAATTTTATAGTTTAATTTCATGATCTCGAGCTTCGATAATTTGCCAATCATTAAAGTTCGCTCTATTTGTAAATTTCCTAGGCCATTTTTATTTGAATCTGATCTGATTCGCCTATAAATAATAAAATCAAACTATCTTCTTATCTCGTTATGTCACCTAATACTCACTTTTGGATATTTAAGATCTTCCTTAGTCGTACTCATATTCCGCTTTCTGGTTGTTACTAATGGTTATCCTCTTTTTTTTCGTAAAATTTTGATTTTTTTGTCAAAGGCTAAACTGCCCGTTTATAAAAGAGTTTTCTTCATATTTAATCTGTATATTCATTTTGTTGTTTCCCAAATTTATTTTTCTGTCCCTTTTAAGCAACTACATCAATTTCTCACCAATAAAATGTGGCCTCATAGCTAGGGTTATATGAGTAGTCTCCGATAAACCTGTTTATATATGATAGTATGTCATATTAAGTAAATTTTTTGACATTGAATATAAAACTCAGAATTCTTTTAATAATTCCATATTGCCATATGTGTGTCAATAAAAATCTTTATCTTACTCATAGAATTAATTTCTTTTGGAATGATTTTCCGTTTAGTGGGCCTCGCTTAATTAAATTTTAACTGATTTTACTTTCTTACAAGCTAAGTATATACGTTTGAAAAGGTATATAAAAGCTTGATTATCTCATTGGACTATCCCAATTTCGCATGGCTAGGCCCTTGCACTGGAAGAGATCTTATTGCATGAATGTCGAACTCAATATCCTTTATTTTGTTAAGTAAACGCACTTATGGTGTTGGTTTGACCTCGTTTTCGCGACTTGGTCTGAGCGTAATTGAAACCTTATGAATAGGCATTATGAGACAGTTATGAATATCCGTATCCGTTTTGCTTCACTCGAGTTCAACAATGCAATTTCCAAAAGTACATCTTATTTGCCGAGAGCCGAGAACTGGTAAATACTTACATATAACACAGTTTCAGTTTTAATCGTTTGTAGTTCTTACAATCTATCATCGTTCTAAGAGAATGTTATACATTTGTATGGCACTGAAAGACTGTATGCAACCAATCAATTTTACTTTGAGATGTATTTGCATCTTGTGTAGTGGTGGGACTTGGTCTTTTTACAGAAGGAGGCATACCTAAATCATGTTAGCACAGATGCTCAGGGTAGGATAGCAGTTCGATTACTGTCCCATATTGCGCCCAAATCGTTACCCTAAGCAACTCTTATTTGCTAATGCGCGCCAAACCACTCATTTTATTCTAAATTTTTTTATTGAATAGCTATTTGATGCGTAGCAAATTAGTAGTGCACTTTACCAAGCTCCAGTTAAATGTCTACTTTTAATTATCCTTTGGAATGAGTCATGCTCGTTATTAAATTGGCTTTTGAGTTCTTGGTTAATCTATTGAAAGAGATTCCTTTAAGACGATTTCATTTAGATGCCTTCTTAGTATATGACTTGAATTATCTCCCATTTTTTTAAAACTATTGCTGTAAATGTTTTAGGCTCAAATTGGTTTATTATTCATATTTGCTAATTAAACTCTTCTATACAGATGGATATTTCAGAAAATATAGACGATACTGCACTTGTCAACTCATTTTTCATTTACAATCTCGTTATTTAAGTTTCTCTTCAACTCTTGAATGGGGCATTTCTACCATTGATTTCAGATTTCATTCAAGTATAAGCCTAATGCTCTGACCAAGTTGCGAAAATAAGGTCGAACGAACACTAATAGAATTGGCCTTGATTGGAGCAATACCGCTTTCTTGAAAATCGTTGAGTTTGAGCCGATGAGTGGCTTGAGATTCACACAACTTTTAATGAAACAGGCTTCACTTCATCTGTTTGAGAAAGTGCATAATTCATGCTCTGACGCTGGAAATTATTATAGATGCTATGGCAGAAAATTCCGAAAAACGTGCCCTTATCTAGGTCTCTGGCAATACGACCAAGTTGCGAAAACGATGTTAAACCACTTCAATACATCCATTGATTTCTTTATGAAAATTTTGGTCGTCAGAAGGCAGTGCGCATTTTGTATCGATATGCGCTCATTAGTGTTTTGCTAACGTCATTTTATATTCTCTATTTAACGATATATTTGAGCCGCTCGATTTTCAC